TTTTTTCTCTTTGCGGTGCACGTGGCGGGGTTTGCACATAGCGAGTTCAATCCCCGGAGAGGAGCTTTTTTAAATTTTCTTTTTAGCAGTCGCTGTTTTGCTTTTAACACTCAAAAACTAATTGTTCAAGTCCCGACGTATGAGTTTTTTAAATTTTCTTTTTAACATCCGCTGTTTTGCTTTTTTTTATCAGATGTGTTTTCTTCTTTAAGTGGTCTCGTACCAATTTCATCAACTTGGGTAATATCATTTCAACAACTTCTACCTCAATAACGGCAGTAAAACCTTCGTCAGCTGAAATGTCAGCTTTTTTTAAAAGCACTTGTTTTTGGTAATTCATGTTGTTGAGTGTATGCTCCAGTCTGATTCCTTATGGTGAGTAAATTTACATCTGAGTCACGTATTGTAGAATTTAAGCACGCAAACGTTGGGTATGTTAAATGTTAAAATTTCCATTCTAATTCAAATAACGGCGTAGAATCTCTTAGATGATTTAGAACGCATAACTTAATACCGAAAGAAGTCGCAAAAGGCCATTTGAATCATGCATATTTCAATATCTTCCATGATTAATTAAATCTGCATGTTAACAATGTGAATATTGTTATGAAGTTTAATAATTTACATCCAACTTAAAAATGTAAAAATGATGAAAGCAATTTTCAAAGGTCAAAATCTTTCCTTTATACCTAAAATTAAGTGTTAATATATGAGAAAATAATGTGTAATAATGTTGACTAGAAACATTAGTGTATATTATGACATCGATGACACTAATATGTTTTACTAAATGTATATTAAAAATATATAAGTAAGAGGTGCCACTACAAGCCCGTAAAATCTGCTTCTAATTTACCTCCACAAATATCTGAAATGTTTTGATGCCCCACATCAGTACGATTTACTGTGACATTGATTATACTTATATTTGTCAGATACCTAAATAAAATTAATTCATAGCTTGGATGTATATTACTATTAGTAAGCAAGTGCCTAACAAAAATAGATATAGGAACGTAAAAATCTGGTTTTGTTAATCTACCTCCACAAATCTCTTGGATGGTTTTTTGATGCCCCACATCAGTAAGAAGGTGTAGATCTCAGACGAGTCGATTGTACCGTCACCGCTCATGTCCAACTCAGGAAATATCTGGTCCACGTCCATGATGCGCTGAAAATACAGAGAGAACTTTTTTTCTAAATTCCAACACGTAATCACAAGACTCGGTGGGCTCACCGCCACCAACACAGGGGACAGTACAATACTCATTTTCACCTGAGTGAAGTGAGGAAAGTCGTGTAAAGTTCCTTTTCCAAAAACACAAGATCTGTGGCATGTCAGGACTCGAACCCGGGGTGTCTTGGTTCGGAGTCAAGCACTCTATCGCTACGCCACACGACCTCACCAACAGATAGAGCTTAATTTGACACAAAAAGTACAACCGTACGACTTTCATAAGATCTTTAACTAGACATACATACAGACACGTGTGTACAGAAGAATTGACCTACTTGTTCTAAGGTTTAAAATGATACATTTACCTAAGGGTCATCGCCTGCTAGAATAAAATTGATGATTCCGTTGAGCAAACGAAAGAAGCTTGTGCGTTTATGTTGATCTGATTTCATGCATGACATCCACGCGCGAATGAATATTTCGGCCGCTTCCAAAAATAGTGCCTGTCAGAAACCCGTTGCCATGGCAACACAAAAAAAAAACTTATTTTGGATGGTATGAAGTAACCTGGATGGAGTACAGTTTGTTACATATAGAAAAAAATTAAGTACAGAAACAAATAAGACAATACCGAACTAATAACAGGTTCCTCTCTTGGCGATTTAAGTGTAAACATAGTAAGGTGGCTTTCGTTGCAGATTCCCATTGCCGAAGGTATGTCAACACTGGGCCAGTGTTGGTGACTAAGAGTACATCCAATTGTTCCACATGCAAATTGCGACCGGAAGAACAAGCTTGTCTAAAAAGCCTCTACCCTCAAATACCCTCGAATTCCAGTGCTGAGTACCACTTCAGCCCTGGTGTCCCCGTGCTGAGAAAGGAGGTCTTACTTTTGTATATATGCAAATTTGCACTCGGTCTTGATATATACCAGGACAATAGTACTGTACTGTACGTCGAAGTGAGAGCAGCTAGCACATAGCCCATTAAAGAAATGATTTAAGAATTCGGCTTCCAGCGCAAAAGAGTCACCGACCACTGGAAAAGCCAGTGCGAAACTCTATACTTCAGTACTTCGACACTTGTTATCTACAATGTAGTGCTTCAGCACTGGAGGAATGCCGTTCATTAATATAATTCTTGTGCGGAGATTAATTCCGCACAGGGCCCAACTTTCCAAATAAGTTCGGCACTGGGCGCCCAGTGAAGAACTCTTCACGATCACTCCGGTACCCTTGCAAGACAATGTAAAACAATGTTGCGGACAGTTCTGCAAGACCAGTGGTTTACGTTAGACAAAGTCGGTCGTTGTACAATCTTATGGCACAGTGCCTAATTTTTTTTTGTTCGGGCATTGGGGACAGTGATATTGGGTCTGTTCAGTAGTCCCTGTTGCAAAATCTCTAGGCAGACAAGTCGCCCGAAGTAAGTTATATTCCCTAAGCCGACGTTAAGCTTTTTTCTGCAGGGTTATTTGAAAGAAAAAAAGAGTCTTAGTGTGATCTTATAGCAAAAAAAGCACCAGTAAATAAAAACACATACCTGTAGAAGAACGTCTTTCCTCACCCTGGGAAAATGCTAGAATGATTTAGGTAGTGACAGACAACGAAAGATATAAGCCGAGGTATAATTACACATAAATCCATGTGGAAGAACTGGTTTTATGAGTTCTTGAAATGCAAATCCCTGCTTTTGTTCAAGTAATCTTTTTGCAGCCAGGGCAATCTGATAATTGGCCACATATATCTCTGTAAAAAAAAACTTTATCAGTTTGGTGGATGATTGAATAGTAAATTCTTTTTTCCACAACGATTTGTCCTTGATGAGCGTTAAGATGACTGGTTTGCTGTGTAAGGAAGCTAGGTCTTACATGGTTCAATATGCACCGAATGTAGCGAAAACGTATATCTGTGTTTTTTTCACCCCGGTGGAATTCTAGAATATGGGGTTTGATTTATTTTTTGTACCAATAGATCGATCTCAGCCTATTTGGCCTATTTTCAGGATCTCTGTTTACAAACATGTAAAATTGTCTTTACAAAAGTCTATATCGAAAATTATTGAATTGTCTTTACTAAAAATCCAAACCTGATATTTATAGATAACGCTTTAAACAAAAACATACATTTGCATCAGAGTCACCAGACAGTATTTCCATATTCCTAAGGATAACGGATAATTATCGGTCAATAATCTATATATTTAGTCAACCAATCCGTTTTTTTTCTTATTTTACCAGCAAATCACATTCAGGAATTCGCCATAGTTTTCAGGTACACAGTTAAACACCCTGCAACTGCAATCTGAACGATTTCTTTACTAAAGTTAGAAATTTCATTCAGATATTTGTGGTATCGCTTCGAACAAAACCTTTCATTTGCATCAGGGGATTTTAGGCTCTCTAAGGATTATGGGTAATGATACATTAGCGTAATTGGCGTTGTCTATCACCCCCCAATCATTCTGGCATATTCTTAATGTAAATAAAGCCAGACTCAGGTTTTGGATATCTGACTTGCACAACTCTGTGTGTCCTAAGAGCTACAGAAATGGATATGGGCACCACCCTACGCTCTGCATAAGGGAACGGGAGACCTTTCTTTTCCTTTTTCTATTTTACCAGTCCATGTAGAACGCAGAAAGGTATGTAACATATTTTAGGAAGCTCTGGCACAAACATAAAATCTAGATTGTTTGCACAAAAGATTAAAAATGCAAATCTGATGATTTTTCCACATAATCCAATGAACAAAGGAAGATGTTTGCATCAAAATAAACAAAGAATATTTCCTTCTGTTAAAAATATGGATAATGATTCCTTGGCGTAACTTGTCTACCACCACGGGTGTTATTCTAGTATTTGCTCAGAGTGACGAGTACACGTTGTACGTCTGGTCCATAGCAAAGTTTTTTTTAATTAGATATATTACCGGTAGACCTCATTCATGACTGTAACTTTTTTCAGATGGTCCTGGACAGATATTAGTAAATAAAATCTGGAAGACTTTACTAGAGTCAGAAACCTGATCTTTATTTAAATAACACTTTAAACAAAATCAGTCATTTGCATTACAACAACCAACACTTGAAAATAAACAAAAATGATTTAATAGTAAATTTCGTCAAACTAAAATAAAATTATTGCATTAACATCCTTTTAATATTAGCTATTTGTGTTACTAAATCATTGATTTTGCAAAATTCTTCTCCGAAAGACGATTTTTTTCCGGGTTTCTGACCACAGGTCATGTCATGTTTTTAGGCAAACATCGTTTAAACCTGGCTACGTATATTACCCCAGATCCCCGATTTTTATATTTTTCGACGACTGGGAATAAGATCAAAAATCGTGTTTTAGGGATTTTTTAATTTCTGATTTTAAGTCAAGTTTTTGTCGACATATTGGTGAAAAAATTGATTTTTTTTTCATTTTTCGCAGTAATTTACCCATAATTCAAAATTGAGGCCATTTTTAAAAAAATCCCTTAAACACGATTTTTGGGACAACCGTAACGGTCATTTTGAGCCGTGAATGGGGTATTTTTGACTCTCCATGCTTGTAGGTTAAAACGAGTTTTGCAGACATGTCATGTCGACCAAAAGTCTGCATTGTGTTATTCATACTGGTGTAAAGAATCATTACAGTATTCAAGGTCACCCAAGGATACGGCAGTAGCTTCGCTACATGTTACATGTCCACAAAATATGATAGCGGACATGTACTGTCCAGGAAACTGTTTGTATCTACAGAAAAGTGTTGTTTTTTATCTGCTGCAAGGCACGGAGGCAGAAAGGCTTGTTTTGCCGCTTTATTGTAAATGACCGCGAAATAGAACGCGGGTTCGATTCGAATTGCCCAGATCGAACACGATCGAACACAGTTCGGGTTCTATGACATGTGGGAACTTTGCAGCCCAGATTTTACCACCGTGATGTTGTTTATAATCACAATTTTCTCTCGGTCATGTATTTGCAATAAAATTTTTGATATCAATTTATTTATCAATTTGCTTAAATAATATAGTTTAATAAAAAAAACCATATCAAACATCGTAAAGAATCTACAAGAATATTTTATGCTGGGTGTGAAGTAACATCTGTGTCCATAATATCACCAGGGTCCATAATATCGCCACCTTGAGAAATAGTGTGCTTAAAGATATTTTTACTGTAACATACCCTAGGTATGTACATTTGATGTGTGAAGGAGTGCATACCAAAAGTATGTTGCAGTAAAAATATCTTTAAGCACACTGTTTCTCAAGGTGCGATATTATGGA